TATAAATTTATAAAGCTTCTAATAAGAGTTTATAAATTCCCAATAGTACTTAATGTATACTATTTATTCTATTCTCAGTGTACCTGGTATATAATAATTTTTAATAAAACTTAATTTGTATTTGTGCATATGCTGTAAGTCTACGTTGGCTGGTAGAAAGGGGTTAAGCGATAACTATTCCTTGGAAATAAATTTATTCACTGCAATAAAATGACTGAGCACTTGATATGCATCTATGTAGCTAGGAAATGTACTAAAGATTGGTTACATATGAAACAAAGTTGTCAGTCACAGACCCTGCTCTCCAGTACTATTTGAGATAAGGTTAACATCAAGAAGCCTTTGGTTCTGCTGGACACTTGGTCACTAGGAATTGGAGTGGACACAATAGCACCTACCAACAACAGCAATGCTCACTTGTAACAAAACAAAGCTCACTTCATGAACTGAAAAATAACTCAGAGTGAAAAGTGCTAAAAGAAATCACATGCTTGAACTATTTCAGAACTTTGGCATGCAAAGTGTTGCCTGGCTGTCCACATCTAAATGGTAGCCTCAGTGAGCAAAGCACTCAGCTTCTGGAACTTTCCCTCATGGGTAAGGCTTAGATCTTCCTGAAGGAGCAGGCAGAATGTGCCAGGGACTGATGCCTGGGAGTGAGAAGCAGAAGCTGGAGATGGAGCAGGGTTGGTGAGTAACCATCAGTTAGGGCATAACCAGCAACATCCCAGAAGAACTCACTTTATTCCTGCAGAGAAACTAACAACTGGAAAGAAGAGGCCATCGATGTTGAAATTCTCAAACATTCCCTGAACAGGCTGGCCATTGATGCGGAAGGAGATACTCGGAGCACTGAGATCGAGACAGCAACTAATGACATCATCCGTCCTCAGCAGGTGCTGGTTTGGGGAGCTCACAGTCCGGGCAATGCAGCCTGTTGACAACGGACAATAGTACTAGGCACAATGTATATGAATGAAATACAACCTCTATGAATTTTGTATGCAAACCAATATAAAAAAAATGTTAAAACACACAAAGAAATGTAATAAAAAAGGTTATTTAATCTGAAAAAAAGAATATTTAATCTGAAAGTTCCATCTTTACAGCCAAAATCAGAGATATGAGGAATTATTAAACACCAATACACACGTAGATCAATGCACAACCCTGAAATGGAATACATTGTGAATTGATGATATATTGCTTTTGGGTTTGTGTGTGTGTGTTTTTCCCCCACTGGAAATCAGAGCTTCATGTGTACACAGGAAAGAAACACACACTTTTTTCCTACATGACTGGAACATCTCCATGAACATATGCTATTCATAAACAATATAATCCTTTGAATGTTTATTTTTTTAACCAATATTAGCAAGACCACTGGTTTTCAGAATTGGACAATAAAGATAAGAGGTATCCTTCTAGAAAAATGTGAAAGGAGATAGGTAGCCTTTACCTGACCAGAGATGAAGTCCATCGAAACCATAGGAGAATAAGTCATCTCCGACACCGTTTCCACCCCACTCTTCACCTCCACCAGGGTAAGGAGAGTACCCTTCTGTGGAAGCCCAGCCAACGCGCAGGTGTGTCGCTTCAGCGGTCACAAATGGCTCCGTGTGATCCACCATCAATTCATAGTACCATTTCTTATATTGAGCAGACCCTTCACTGACGCCCAGAAAAATATTGGGCCTCATGCTTCAAAGAGATAGGAATATCACATATTAAAATCATGTCAGAGAAAGGAAGACACCCAACCTTTCCTCGCTTTAAATTATATCTCAGTATTTGGAACATAGTTCTATTTTTTAAAGACATTATACACTAAGTATGAGAGAAGGATGGGCAGTCTCCTCCTGTGTGATTTATTGCCTCTGAAAACCTATTGGAGGGCCCACTCTGGGTCAGTTACGACTATACAGTGGGTACTCAGTGACAACAAGTGGCAGGTTATGATATAAAGAAATATGAGGAAAGCATTTAATCATACCTTTAAAATATTTGGTTTAATAAAAAGCTCAAGAAAAGACATTTCCTAGATTGTTGCTAAATTCACTGTACAAAACACATACACATAAACACAACTTTCTAAAATTACACAGAAGTATAGTATAGTTTAAGAGCTAACTCTCTGGAGTTGGTTAGATCTGATATCCACTTTGCATGATTTTTCATTTTAAAAAATGTGGATTGTAAAACACACAATGAATTCTAAATACCTTGGAAGGCAGAGATAATTTGCAACCAGCTTCTAAAGGTGCCAATTGTAACCATCAACAATGGATGTAAATAAACGGTTTTATACATTTGTTTGATGGTAAATGTATACTTTGCTTCATTGCTATTGTATGGTTAAAGCACCTGATTGATGGACAAATACTAAAGGAAATGTGGTAAAAGATCTTTTAAGAAATGAATAGGATAGGCATGTTGCAAGGCAAGACCCATCCTTGGAGATTGATGTCATGCTTGGGAGGGTGGAGGGGCAGTGCAGGATAGGAAGACCCTCGATGAGATGGATTGATTCTGTGACTGGGGTAATGGGGGTAGGTGTGTCAGAGAGAGTGAGATTGGCACAAGATAGAGCAGGGTTTAGGGCTTTTGTACATAGGATCACTATAAGTTGCAAGTGACTCAACGGTACATAACAACGGTGCATATCATTTTAGATGATAATCTAAAATCAAACAAAAACAAACCCAACACACACTAAAAATCCAAAAACAAGCCAACAAGTCAGCTCATTGCTGCAGACTCATAGTTGACTCTCCAGTGGTGTTTGGAGGCTGTAAATACCACAGGAGGAGATTGCCAGTCTAGCTCCTGAGGAACCACTGGTACATTCAAACCACCACAAAGCCTGGCATTGGGGTTAGTGGTACAATCCCTTAGAGATCTCAATGTTAGAGCTCTTTTGACATATAGAAAAACAGAAAATGAATGCTTGTGCCATGCTACATTCGTGGAGATGTCTGGATTTACCTGCTGACATGATTCACAAGACGAGTTTGCAGTAACAGATCTCTTCCAGGTAGAAGATTGTCACAAATGAGATGCTGGTTAGAACGGACTGCAACTCCATGGCAAACACAGAGGGAACACAAGACGTCTAGAACCTACAAGAGAGCAATGGCAGCTGACACAAAGGCAGCATTGTCACAAAGCACACATGCCCACACCTGGCTTCTGGGCCAGCCATGCTCCCTAGTTCTCCTATTTTCCCTTCATAACAAATTGAGAAGACTTCATTTTCCCACTGATGCTACAAAAAAAAACACACAACACTAATTGTGGTTATTAATAAGAAATATTAACAAAAATTGCACACTTTCATGAAAACTGTGTTACTTCTCAACTGTATTTCAAATTATTACAGATTTCATTTCATGACACTGAAATGGTTCACTTACCTTGTGATTCCTTCCATGTTTGTCCAAGAGTGAAATTATAGATTTAATATGTCCTTCTTTGATAATATTTAGAGCTTCTGGACTCTCCACTAACACACAGTGTAAAACTTCAAGAATGCCTAAAGAGAAAAGAATGGAGAGAGAAAAATAGGACTCCTTATTCCACACAAGAAAATCCTTTTGCTCTCTGTGCTCATTCAGTTCAACAAACTGTAACCTCCTGTGGGCTGTACATGGCAAAAGTCCTGTGATCTATGTGAGGTGCTTCCTAGAGAGAGATTCCTAATCAAACAATTATTAACTCCTGGTGCAGTGATAAAATGACCCAGCTAAGAAACAGCTCTTAACCGAGTAACCAGTTAAACCGGCCTGGGAGAGATGGTCAAGGGAGAAATGATGCAGAAGATTCAAAGAACACATTAATGAAATTTTTCCAGACAGGAAGGAGGTATAGTTGTACTGATTGGGTAATATCTTACATCGGAAGCAAGTTACCTGGCACACCTGAAGTGGAGAGTGAGTGATGGAGTGGTTGGTGGGCTATGCCCGGCTTAGGAAGCCCCTTGTTATTAGAAGAAAAGCCTGTAAGATTCTAAACCATGGGCATCATCTCTATCTCTAGAGGTTTATAGCAGAGTATGGTTTTTATAGCTTTCAAGGCATGAGAAATAGACAATACAAATCTAAATACACACCGTACAAAACTTGTGACATTTTAATAGTACTCATTATTAAAAACGATAAAACAAAACAAACCATATTCATCTTCAAGAATAAAATGGGATAAAAAGAAATTAGTTTTCATTATCAGACTTTGTAGTGAAAACTTGAAAATCTAAGTTTGTAATCCTGTATTTCTTGTTTCATACCAGCTTACCTGAGGAAACAACTCAACTACACATTAAAGCAACAAGCTCTCTGAGGTGACAGGGCTTTGGGAGGCCTTTCCTTAGATGAAGTTGGAATTCTCGGGGAAGAACTAGAAAGTGCTCAGAAGTGTTGGGGAATGTTGTTGTTGTTGTTATGTGCTGTTAAATCAACTGAGACTCACAGCAACCCTATGTACAGTAGCTTTGAATCCTGCTCTATCCTGAGCCAGCCTTTCTGTCTCTGACACACTTGTCCCCATTACCCAAGTATTGTATCAATTCCTTTCACCCACAGTCTTCTTCACTTGTACTGACCCTTTACCCTTTCAAGCATAATGTCCTTCTCCAAGGACTGGTCCCTCCTGATAACATGCCCAAACTATGTGAGACAGAGCATCAAAAGCCTAGCCTCCAAGGCACAACTTGGTATCACCCTCTCCAAGACAGACTTGTTTATTCTGTTGGCAGTTCATGGTATGTTCAATAATGTCCAGTATGACAGCTCAAATGCATCAGTTCTTTACTTTATTATAGTTGTCCTAGCCTGAAAATTAAACTAGTTGCCTAAGTTTCAACTTCTCCTCAGAGCAAACCCATGTTCATCTGAATAGAACCATAAACAACAGGATTTATTTATATGGTGGATTTTAAAAAAATCATCCAGCTTTTCTTTTGAGATGTCTAAGGGTAGACTTTAATGTTCATCATTTTAGTTAGCAGTCAAGTATGATAACCCTTTGCACATCTAGTATGTTGTTGGTTTTCTATGCCATCGAGTCAGAATTGACCTATAGGTGACCCTCTGGTGGGTTTTCAGAAGCAGTTAAATCCATGGGAGGAGACTGCTGATCCTTCCCTGCAGAGCAGATGATGGCTTTGAACTGCATGCCTTAAGTATTATAGCACAGCTTCTTGCCACTAGGCCACCGTTAAAAATCATCTGTTTATGATACCAGGTGATTTCACCTTATGGTGGCACTGTGTGGGTTAGAAGAGGGAGAGAAAATATAGGGAGAATTTCTGAAGATATATAAGTAGAAAAAACTCCAAATAATATTACAAACTTAAAGGTAGGAAGTTCTATCCAAGAAGCTCAACAATTTCAATACAGGATAGACTAAAAAATAAAGTCTCTAAGACATGTCATACCCCAACTTCTTAAAATCATGTGTTTGTTGTTGTTGCTGTTGCTATGTGCTGTCAAGTCAGACACTGCCTTGGATGAGCAAAGTTGTTCCTTGAAATCTAGAGGACAGCCACCAGACGAGATCAATATTTGTTCCCATTCCAAAGAAAGGTGACTTGACAGAATATGGAAATTATCAAACAATATCATTAGTAACACATGCAAGCCAGATTCTGCTGAAAATTATCCAAAAACGACTGGAGCAACACATTAACAAAGAACTGCCAGGTGTGCAGGATAGGTTTAGAAGAGGCCCTGGTACTAGGGATATTATAGCTAATGTTAGATGGATTCTGGCAGAAAGCAGAGAGTACCAGAGGAATGTCTATATTTCATTGATTATGCAAAGGCTTTTGACTGTGGGGGTCACAACAAACTGTGGTTGACTCTGAGAAGAATGGGAATCTCAGAACATTTGATTGTGCTTATGTGAAATTTATATTTGGACCAGGAGACAGTTGTCAGAACAGAGCAAGGAGACACTGCATGGATCAAAATCGGGAAGAGTGTCCACCAAGGATGGAGCAGTTCATGAACAGTGAAACAACATTCAAAAATTATCATCAATAAGACTAACAGTTTGGTGCAACCACTGTGGAAGGTGGTATGGTGCTTTCTCAAAAAGTTGCAAATAGAATTGAAAAACAAGGAACTCATGCAATATTATCCAAAATGGTTGAACCTGGAGGACATTATGCTGAGTGAGGTATCTCAGTCACAAAGGGACAAATGCTATATGGTAATACTGTTGTAGAATGAGGCTGGCATTGGGGTGGGGGTAAGACTGAGAAAAACTGGATGAAATATGTTTACGGCATTGAAGTCTATGGGGGAGAGAAC